TATCCTGAGATGGGGTGAGTGGATGGATAGTGTACTGAGGGGCCTCTGCCCTGCCCGGAGCCCCCATCAAAGGGGAGCGCAGGGGACTTCCTGCCCACGGCCCCCTCTGGCCCTCGCCTGGCATGCCCGGGTCACCAGCAGCAGCAGTGGTGTTTCAGTGGTCCCAAGATCTGGGGGAAGGGGAGAACCCGCCATCTTATCCCTACCCCCTGGGGCCTTCACGCTTATTTTCTTGTTGAAGAAACACAAAACCCTCGAGATTCATGTACTGTATGTTGGAGAGAAAAAAATACCTAATGTTCCCCCAAAAAAGACAGTATATTTTGTACTTTGTAAAGTGTTAATTAAAATGGAAAACGATGCTGGCTGGTGGCTGTCTGGTTTTGTGTGGACCTAGCCAGAGACTGGCCTTATCTCTTTCTCCTCCATGCTGTGATTGGGGGAACACAGGCCAGGGGCTAGAGGGGGTAAAAAAAAACACCCAGAATCTGAGGAAGGGCCCCCAGAGCCACAGGAGTTGTATTAGTTACATGGTGCTATGTAACAAGTTGCCCCAAAACTTAGCAGCTTGTTAAACATGATCATTATTTATAGATCACATTTTCTGTGGGTCAGGAATTCAGGAAGTTTGGCTGAGCGATTCTGGCTCAGAGGCACTCATGAGGTTGCCATTGTCTGAAATCTTAGCTAAGGATTGGAGAATGCGCTTCTAAGTTACACCTTGCTGTAGGCAGGAGGCCTCAGTCCTTCTCCAGGTGGGCCAACCCACGGGGCTGCTTGAGTGTCCTCACAATATGGAGCCCGGCTTCCCCCAGAGCAAGAGATTCAAGGGCCCAGGTTAGAAACTGAAGTGTTGTTTTTATCCCTAGCCTCAGAATTCCCGTGCAGTTGCCTCTGTCGTGCTCTCTGGTGTGACACAGCCCAGCTCTGAGTTGACATGAAAGGGAGCTATATAAGTGTGTGGAAACCAGCAGATAAAGATGACTGGGACCATCTTGGAGACCAGCTACTATGCCCAGCATCTCCACCCAGATCTTGGGCAGAGGCAGGCCTGGGAGTTGGGGGCAGTCAGTGGAAGGAGTTGGACGGGCCTTTCTGATGGCAGGTGAAGGTCAGGGGCTGGTTGCCTGGCCGAAGGGTGTCTACCCCAAACCTAGAGCCCTGCCGTGGACATTGCAGCTCCAGGAAGGTTCCAGAAGCCCAAGAGCCGATACCTCCAGATTAGATATCCTGCGAGCAGGAGAAGAGGGCACCATGCTTCTGGCTCCTGCCCCTCTTGATACAAGGGGTGCTGGATCTGCACCAGCAAGAAAAAGGTGAGCTTAAGACCAGCAGGTTCTAGACCTGACACCCTCCCCTTCTCCTCTCTGAGATTTTGCATGGGGGCAGGTGTGAGCCAGGCAGCGCTGAAGACCCATACCTGCCCTGGGCACCACCAACCCCCGCCCCCACCCTGCCTCACCTTGGCCCACAGGAAAAGAGAACCGAGACGGAGTGAAAACAGAAGCTGAAAGACAGGGCCTGGTGGCTCACGCCTCTAATCCCAGCACTTTGGGAGGTCAAGGAGGGCAGATCCTCTGAGGTTGGTGTTCGAGACCAGCCTGACCAACATGGAGAAATGCTTTTCTATACTAAAAACACAAAAAAATTAGGTGTGGTGGCGCATGCCTGTAATCCCAGCTACTTGGGAGGCTAAGAAAGGAAATCGCTTGAACCAAGGAGGCGGAGGTTGCAGTGAGCCGAGATCGTGCCACTGCACTCCAGCCTAGGCAACAAGACACTCTGTCTCAAAAATATATATATAATTTTCCTCTTGGAATGCATATCAACTGCCGGAGTTGTGGACCCCGCTACCACCATTAGACTGAGACTATCCAGCCTGAGGCCCCGAGGAGGAGACTCAAACGGGGCCTCTTTTAGACTGGCATGGCTTCACATGCTGTACTCTGGTCTCCTGGCATTCAGCTGCCACCTGCTACCAGAGCAAGAGCCAGATGCTTCCCCAGCAAGACAGCGCCTCCTGGTTGGAAGTGACAACAGCATCTAGGTCTATCCTTTTATTTTTTTGAGAGAGTCTCACTTGGTTACCCAGGCAGGACTGCAATGGCATGATCTCCACTCACTGCAGCCTCCACCTCCCAGGTTCAAGCGATTCTCCTGCCTCGGCCTCCCGAGTAGCTGGGATTACAGGCGCCTGCCACCACACCCGGCTAATTTTTGTATTTTTAGTAGAGACGGGGTTTCTCCATGTTGGTCAGGCTGGTCTGAAACTCCCGACTCGTTATCTGCCCACCCCAGCCTCCCAAAGTACTGAGATTACGGGTGTAAGCCACTGCGCCCGGCCTGTATTTTTACTTCATTTATTTATTTTTTTGAGCCTGAGTCTTGCTCTGTCACCCAGGCTGGAGTGCAGTCGTGCTAACATGGTTCACTGCAACCTCCACCTCCCGTGTGTGCACGTGCGTGTGTGTGCACACACACACTCCTATCAGTGTTCATTCCTACTCCATGGGCAGGGGCAGGAGTGCTTAGATGGGCAGATGGGCAGGGGCAGGAGTGCCTAGATGGGCAGACAGACTAGCTGGGGGAGGATGGACAACAGCCCAGGAGCTGGCACTAACTGGATCAGAGCCGTGGGTAATCTGGTTACTGCATCCTGGGATGCTGCAGTGGCTAGACTGGCGCCCACCGGGGGGCCCTCGGAGGAGCTGAGAACGTGGCTGCATGTCAAGGGAGGATCCCTGGGAGACAGCTCACTGAGACTTGTGAAGTCGCCTGTGACGATGGTAGATGACATCCTGCCTCTGAGGGGACACCCAGTCTCAGGCGAGCAACGCCACTCCCCAAGGTCAAAGGGCAGAGCAGGGCAGGGAAGCAATTCTCCTGCTTAAGCCTCCGGAGTAGCTGGGATTACAGACAGGTGCCACCACGTCTGGCTAATTTTTGTGTTTTTAGTAGAGATGAGGTTTCACCATGTTACTCAGGCTGGTCTCGAACTCTTGACCTCAGGAGATCCACCCAGCTTGGCCTCCCAAAGTGCTGGGATTACAGACGTGAGCCACCAGGCCAGGCCTCCCATAATAGTTTAAGCAGACCCCACGGCCGTCCAGGCGAAGGCCAGGCCCTCTGCAGATGCTGGCACCAGGTGGAAGGCGGGAGAAACGTGGGACCTTCATAGGTGCATCCTGAGTTTCAGTCCTGGCCCAGGCACGGTGCTGGGCACTGAGCCTCGGACTGCAACCTGCTGGGTCATGCCGGAGCATTCGCTTCATGGCATAAGTGTCAGGATTTGACTTTGTCACGCAGAACACAGTCAGCGCATAAGTATTTCCTGAATTAATGAAAATGTGGGGTGACCACACGTTCAAGAAACAAGTCCCGACGGCATTCTATGGAGGCTGACAACCTGACCTTTTATTAGCTGTGAAGGGTTTTCATGCCAGTGAGAGTCATTGCTTCCCTGAGATCATCAGTGTGGCATGGTGGTCTGCATGTCTGCAGGGACAAAGGGTATGGAAAACCAGGGCCCACAACCGCTGCAAACTGTCCGAGGGAGATGGGGGTGGCCTCCTTGCAGCTCACAAGCTGGGCACACTATGTCTTCTACCAGGGTGCATCTCTGACCTTGGCTACTGGCCCCATCAGAGAGAAAGGGACAGTCTGCGTATACAGAGGATGGCCTGGGGGCACACGGGGTTGGCACAAGCCTCTCTCCACTAAAGCGAGAGGAGACGGGAGCTTGCAAACACTGACTTCACAGGAACACGATGATGCAGCCTAGCAACTGAGCTAATGGCATAGCAGGGTTTCTATGGACGTGTGTCAAATGCTGGGAGTGGGGGGCACGCTGGGGGGAGAGAGGACAGACGCTGACACAGGCACAGGTGACAAGTGGGGAGAGGGCCTGGTCCACGGCAGAAGAGCTCCCACAGAGGGCACAGCCAAGCAGCCTGCTAGACAAAACAGACAAACCCAAGGACGTCCCTTCTTCTACACTGGGTGCTATGTCCAAAGTCAAGATCATTACTGAGGCTGGGCGCCCTGGTTCACCCCTGTAATCCTAGCACTTTGGGAGGCCGAGGTGGGCAGATCACTGGAGGTCAGGAGTTCGAGACCAGCCTGGCCAACATAGCAAAACTCCGTCTCTACTAAAAATACAAAAATTACCCGGGCATGGTAATGCATGCCTGTAGTCCCAGCTACTCGGGAGGCAGAGACAGGAGAATCATTGGAACCTGCGAGGTGGAGGTTGCAGTGAGCCAAGATCTCGCCACCGCACTCCAGCCTGGGCAACTGGGCGAGGCTCTGTCTCAAACAAAAGATTGTTACTAGATCTGTATCTTGGTTGCCATTAGGGTGGGAGGATTAAAAACCCACCTTCTCCAGAGACCCTCCCTCCTCCATCCTCACCTGCCATCCTGAACCCTGCCGGGTGTGACCTGGACCTGACTTCCAGGGGCACTTGCTGTCTATAAATCAGTACGCGCTTTGCGGCTTGAGTTTCACTGAGGTCGGATTACCCTGCTTCACTGCAGGGGCGACGTTAGACCCGGTCCCGGTGAGAGTTTCAGGAAGGAAAACTGACACACCGTTTTCAATTTCTATTTCAAGTTTATGAGAGAACTTGGCTGTAATAAACCTAAGAAAGGGTTCAAAGCCCAGGTGAAGGGCCCCTCCCCTAGATATCTGAGAGGCTGGTTCTCATGGCCGCAGGTCACAGCAAGGACACCGCCGGCTGGATGACCATTCCACTTTAAAGTGCAGCCCTGATGGCCGGGCGCGTGGTTCACGCCTGTCATCCCAGCACTTTGGGAGGCCAAGGTGAGCGGATCACCTGAGGTCAGCAGTTCAAGACCAGCGTGACCAACATGGTGAAACCCCGTCTCTACTAAAAATACAAAAATTAGCCGGGCGTGGTCACAGGTGCCTGTAACTCCAGCTACTCAGGAGGCTGAGGTAGGAGAATCGCTTGAACCCAGGAGGTAGAGGTTGCAGTGAGCCAAGATTTTGCCACTGCATTCCAGTCTAGGCAACAGAGTGAGATTCCGTCTCAAAAGTAATAATAAAATAAAAATTAATTAACAAAGTACAGCCCTCCCAAGATCTCATTCCCTCTTCCTGCTCTCTCTCCACTGCCCACAGAACCATTTAACATGCTGCTTCTCATTTTCCCACCTCCCTAGAATGCTGAGTTCCAGGGTGCGGGGATTTGTGTCAACACGTGCCCCAGCATGACGACCGTACCGGGCATGGAAGGGACACAGGACAAGTATCTGTTGAGTGAATGCATCAAAGGACTGGGATAAAGGCAGACAGGGCACGGGAGTCCAGCCTGTGACATGAGTACAAGGTATTTTCTCTCAGCTGAACTATGGGAGTAGAATCTGTTCAGCAAATATTCATCAGGTACAGCCGGGCGCAGTGGCTCACGCCTGTAATCACAGCACTTTGTGGGGCTGAAGCAGGTGGATCATCTGAGGTCAGTTCAAGACCAGCCTGGCCAACATGGCAAAACCCCATCTCTACTAAAAATACAAAAATAAAAAAAAAAAAAACAATTAGCCAGGCATGGTGGTGCAGACCTGTAGTCCCAGCTACTGAGGAGGCTGAGGCAGGAGAATAGTGGGAACCCAGGGGCGGAGGTTGCAGTGAGCCGAGATCGCATCACTGCACTCCAGCCTGCACGACAGAGTGAGTGAGACTCTGTCTCAAAAATAAAGAAAAAAGAAAAAGAGAATAAGAAAATATTTGTTAAGTAGGACTGTCTTATTTTTCAACTCAGCATGGTAGCTCACACCTATAATCCTAACACTTTGGGAGGCCCAGGCAGGAGGATGGCTTGAGGCCAGGGGTTTGAGACCAGCCTAAGCAACATAGTACGACCCTGTCTCTATAAAAAAAATAATAATGAAAAGACCTCATCTCTATAAAAAAGTAATAACAAAAAGGTATTTTTCACTGGCTTCAGCCTCTGTATCAAAAGGCTTGCTATATTGTAAAAGCAAAACTCTAAATGATCAAGATTTTAAGATGACCTCTTCAGATCTTAAAAACCAAAAGGCAGAAAATAGACTTTATTCCAGACAGATTTGTCAAAGACGTTTTTAAAGGGAAAGGCAAGTCAGGCTACTAAATCGAACGTTTCTGGGTCTCCCCCCCTCCCCGAGCCTGGCACTGCAGCCAAGCCTCGGCGGGGGTGCGGGGGCCCTCGGCCCACAGGAACTTGGCCTCGATTCTCTTCCTGAGGGGCTTCTCAACTTTTCCGAGCCAGGCAGTGAGCGGAGTGGGAGGCTGGGGCTGGCGCCTGCGGGGAGCTCCAGATGGAATCCCAGGCCACGGTGCTTCTGGTGCCCCCCAGTGAGCTTGTGGTGTGGCCAGCGGCCAGGAAGGGCCACGAGCAGGGTGGCTTGAATGAAAACCACAGGCTGAGGCCAGCCGGGCTCCCTTGCCGAAAGCGGGTTTCAGTCCGAGGCACATGCATTGGCCTTGGCCAGACGCAAACTGAGAGACCACCGCGACAGAGGAGGACCTCCCAAGCTCCACGTTCAGGCAAAGCTTCCCTAAGATGGACTTCTCAGGCCAGACGTGGCGCCAGACACCGCCGCATGCTACCTGGAGAGAGCAGGTACGTGCTGGCCACAGCGGCCCACCAACGGCCACCGTTCCGTGCCGAGTTCCACAGGCCTCACCCGCAGCTGGAAAGGGACCCTGCCCCGGATCCTCCTGGTAGGTACCCGCTAAGGGATTCAGGAGAGCGCGTCACAGTGCAGGCAGGGTACTGATCTGCCACTGCCAAAAACCCCGGGGGGCTGGCCACGCGCTGGCCTCTGCCAAGCAATGCCAGTGGTTCCCCGGCCGGGGCCGCCCAAGCAGGTGAGGGAGGAGGTTTAGATGAATGACTTGGCCAGGGTCACCATGTGGTCCACACCACACGCCACATCCACGGGCTCCCCAGGCATCGTCACCTGAAAAATAAGACCCAGCATACCATGAGCGAGAGCGGCGCACCCGCAGGAAGCTGGCACTGGCACTGGCCACGCTGGCCCTGCCTCTCAGTAAGAGACGCCTCTCCAGCCGTGGCTCCCTCCACTCTGGAAGTGGGGGCGCTTACGCCTCCTCAGCAGGTCCACCAGGGCAACCGTGTGTGGCCACAAGGACAAGGCCACCCCTACTCCCTCCAGTCAACAGCAGCCATCGCCATCCATCAGCCTGAGAGGCCAGGCTGGGCAGGAACACAGGCCTGTGCGCACCCTCAATGGGCACGCCCCACAGGGGCTGCTCCCTCTGACCCTAACGCCACCAGGCTCATGCCTCCAGGCCAGGTATTCAAGCTCCCTCCTGGGAGCCACTGCTATGGCTCACTGAGAAGCTCCAGGGGCCGGGCACTATGGCTCACACCCGTAATCTCAGCACTTTGGGAGGCTGAGGCAGGCAGATCACTTGAGGTGAGAAGTTCAAGACCAGCCAGGTGTGGTGGTGTGTGCCTATAATCCCAGCTACTCAGGAGGCTGAGGTGGGAAAATCGCCTGAACCTGGGAGGTGGAGGCTGCAGTGAGCCGAGACTGCACCACTGCACTCCAGCCTGGGTGACAAAGCGAGACTCCATCTCAAAGAAAAGGCTCCAGAAACCCTTTCTCTTGCCTTGCAGGTCCAGTCTGGGAACCAGGCCCCACTGGCCCAGCATCTCCAATCATTTTACCCATCATCCCCAGCTCCAGTCACAGGCAGGCTGGGTCCCAAGCTCCCACCAAGGAGTGGCTGTGTCTCCAAGGCCCTTGCCAGGAGCCCTGACCACACTGCCTGTCTGGGCTGACAACATGGCCTCCGAGGACAGCCCAAGCCTCAAGGGAGCAAGAAGCAGCCATGGAGGCTCTAGCCTGTTTGAAGGATGCCCACTGTTCGATCGCCTCGCCATGAAAACAGACACCCCAACAGCTCCAGGTATGCCCAGGGCCATGGCCAAGCCAGCTATCCAGGAAAGAGCCCCTGACTTTCTCTTTCTTGTTTATTATGACTAGACAGTCCATTCACATAGCTGCAAGATAAAAGGACATACCGTAAAAAAGAAGAAAAAAGTATCAAATGTCTTTTATGCTGGGCACAGTGGCTCACACCTGTAATCCCAGCACTTTGGGAGGCCAAGGCAGGTGGATCACCTGAGGTCAGGAGTTCAAGACCAGCCTGGCCAACATGGTGAAACCCTGTCTCTACTAAAAATACAAAAATTAGCCAGGCGTGGTGGCGCATGCCTATAACCCCAGCTATTTGGGAGGCTGAGGCAGGAGAATCACTTGAAGGGAGGTGGAGGTTGCAGTGAGCTGAGATCGCACCACTGCACTCCAGCCTGGGCGACAGAGCAAGACTCTGTCTCAAAAAACAAAAAAAAAAAAAATCTTTTATTACCACCCCTATCACCAGCTGCCCCAGTCCTCACCTGCCTTTGAACTGGAAACTACTTTGAACAGATTTCTTATTAACTTTCCAGAGGTTTGTTTTGTTTTTAAGAGGCAGGGTCTCACTTTGTTGCCCAGGCTGGAGTACAGAGACACCGTCACAGCTCACTGCAACCCTGAACTCCTGGGCTCAAGTCATCCTCCCACCTCAGCCTCCCAAGTAGCTAGGACTACAGCAGTGCACCACCGTGCTCAGCTTATTTGTGTATTTTTTGTAGAGACAGGGTCTTGCTATGTTCCCCAGGCTGGTCTCGAACTCCTGGGCTCAAGTGATTTTCCTGCCTCAGCCTCCCGGAGTCCTGGGAATCCAGGTGTGACCCACAGGCCTGGCCTTCCAGAGATTCTTTATGTAGAGAAGCAGACAGGCAGCTCTTCCTTTCTTGAGTGCTAACTGCCAAGAAAGGGCGCTGCCTGGCTCGGCCCAAAGACCCCTGCCAGGATGCTGGCACTTGATCTACTGACCAGATCTGAATTCAACCACCCTCCCTGGGTGGCAGCACGCGGCCAGGCGGTGTGACAGCTGGAAAGGGGATCTGTCACAGTCCGTGGAGTTTACCGAGCTTAAGAGGGAAAACGCCTAATCCAGATGGCGTGGCCTTAAAAGCAGAGAGGCAGCAGGCGCCGACCCCGGAGCTTTGAGCCTACGCTCGGGAGACAAGACCATTATGGACTCCTGGCGGCAGGCAGATGGATGCTGGAGACCAAGCCATGCTGTCCTCCCCCCACCCTGTCCCCAAACAAATGAATGTCTTTAGCAGAACCTATTACAGAAATCACTAAACAAACAAGAACGGGGCCCAGTCCATCGCAAAGGCACGTCTATGCAGACACCCTGCCAGGCTAGCGGGGAAGAAAACAGGCTGCCTGGGCCCCCTCTTAGCAACCTCCCCAGCCATTAGGGAGCACTTTATTTGCCTTTCCCGGGAAAGCGCGCCTCCCCACTCACCCGCCGCACTTAAGCCCCCAGGTCCTCGTTCCCCCAGGGCTCCAGCCATTCAAGCCCAAAGCAGAGGAAGCCAGACGGTGTCTGCGTGGGCAGCAAGGGCCCGGCTCCTGGGAGCCCTCCCTGGGGAGCAGCAGGAGGCCCCCCCCCCGAGGTTCCAGCTCCCCCTGGTGGACAATCTCACACAGTCTCTGAACTGAGTCCAAGAGGAGACTGCCCTCAGCCACGTTTTATTTTTGTCCTAGGCAAGGTTAAATGGCGTTTTTCTTCTAAGCCAATTTACACTCACAACTCCGCTGCTGAGGGAAACAGCTCCAAAACCCAGCACCGCATTTAGCCTCAGTGCCTCTCTTAAAAGTCTCAACAGAATCCATTTAGGAACATCCCTATCCACAATTACAAGTTCCTAAAACAAACGCCCACCACGTGAAAGACGGGGGTGCAGGAAGGAGGTCCTTCCTGGAGACAAGAGAACCCGGGAAAGGGAGATTGCCCAGGCGCCCAGCTCTGCAGCTCAGAGGCCACCAGTTTTTTTTTTTTTTGATAGAGTCTCGCTCTGTTGCCCAGAGGCTGGAGTATGGTGGCGAAATCTTGGCTCACTGCAACTTCCGCCTCCCCGGTTCAAGTGATTCTCCTGCCTCAGCCTCCCAAGTAGCTGGGATTACAGGTGCCTGCCACCATGCCCAGCTAATTTTTTGTATTTTTAGTAGAGGTGAGGTTTCACCATGTTGGCCAGCCTGGTCTTGAACTCCCGACCTCAAGTGATCCGCCCACCTTGGCCCCCCAAAGTGCTGAGATTACAGACGTGAGCCACCGCACCCAGCCTGAACATAGTTGTTTTAAAGAATAAAGCTCAGCTAGGCATGGTGGCGCACTCCTGTAATTCCAACACTTTGGAAAGCCAAGGTGGGAAGACCACTTGAGGCCGGAAGTTTGAAACCAGCGTGGGCAACACAGCTGACCCCAGCTCTTAAATAATAAAATAAAATAAAAAATAATATAAATAATAAAATAAGCTGGGTGTGATGGCACATGCCTGTAATCTCAGCTATTCTGGAGGCTGAAACAAGAGGATCACTTGAGCCCAGGAGGTTGAGATCAACATATAAGATGCTGTCTCTTAAAAAAAAAAATTATCAGGCCAGGCGCGGTGGCTCAAGCCTGTAATCCCAGCACTTTGGGAGGCCGAGGCGGGTGGATCACGAGATCAAGAGATCGAGACCATCCTGGTCAACATGGTGAAACCCCGTCTCTACTAAAAATACAAAAAATTAGCTGGGCATGGTGGCGCGTGCCTGTAATCCCAGCTACTCAGGAGGCTGAGGCAGGAGGATTGCCTGAACCCAGGAGGCGGAGGTTGCGGTGAGCCGAGATCGCGCCATTGCACTCCAGCCTGGGTAACAAGAGTGAAACTCCGTCTCAAAAAAAAAAAAAAAGAAAAAATTATCTGGGTATGGCGGCACATGCCCGTCATCCCATCCCACATTCCCGTTACTTGGGGCTGAGGCGGGAGAATCACTTGAGCCTGGGAGACAGAGGTTGCAGGGAACTGTGATCACACCACTGAACTCCAGCCTGGGTGACAGCAAGACCCTGTCTTAAAAAAACAAAGAAAATAAAAATCACCTATAATTTTTTTTAATGAGACAACAGAAGGGACTGGACCCTCTCACCCCTAATCCAAATAGGACAAGGGTCGAGGCCACTCCCCTGCACAATGCTTAGGGGCTCCCTGAATGTGCAAGAGGCACGACAATGGCTTGCCACCAAATGCAGCCATCATGGGGACAGGCTGGTATGCCCTTTTCCTGACAGCACAAATGTGTTTAAAATGCAGGCCAGGCGCAGTGGCTCATGCCTGTAATCCCAGCACTTTGGGAGGCTGAGGCAGGCAGACTGCTTGAGGCCAGAAGTTTGAGACCAGCCTGGGCAACAGAGCAAGACCCGCATCTCTGGTGTATGCCTGTGGTCCCAGCTGTTCAGGAGGCTGAGGGGGGAGGATCACCTGAGCCCAGGGAGGTCCAGCCTGCAGTGAGCTGTGATCACATCACTGCAATCCAGCCTGGGCGACAGAGTGAGACCCTGTCTCGTAAAAGGCGAAAACAAAAAAAACAAAGCAAAAGTCTCCATTTCACCTTGCTTTCTCAGGGCCTCGACCCATGGTCTTGAATGAAGGAATCTGAGCCTGCTGAATCCACGGGGAACCAAGAGAAGCAGCAATCAAGGAAAGAGCCAAGAGAAACTGTCCCTGTGACACCCAAGTGCGCCAGAACACAGTGCTGTGGGTTTGCGACATATAGACCCTTTTTTTTTAAAAAAAACTATACGTTTCTGGCTGGGCACGGTGGCTCACAACTGTAATCCCAGCACTTTGGGAGGCCAAGGGAGGCGGATCACTTGAGGTCAGGAGTTCAAGACCAGCCTGGCCAACATGGTGAAACCTCGTCTCTACTAAAAAATACAAAAATTAGCCAGGCATGATGGCACGTGCCTGTAATCCCAGCTACTCGGGAGGCTGAGGATACTCAAGCAGGAGAATCGCTTGAACCTGGGAAGTATAGGTTGCAGTGAGCCAAGATCGTGCCATTGCACTCCAGCCTGGGTGGTAAGAGAGAGATTTCATCTCAAAAAATAATAATAATAAATAAATAATACATTTCTTTTGCAAGTCCTTATTTTTTAAAAAGTCTTTTTTAAAAATGCTTTCACAATTTCAAAGCAAATTAAAATCCAACCTTCCAATAAAGTATACCCATATGCACACTGCACACACGGACATGAGTCTCTATGCAGAGACTATCCTTGGAAAGAAACATAAAGAAGCCAGCAGCCGGGCGTGGTGGCTCACATCTGTAATCCCAGCACTTTGGGAGGCTGAGGCAAGCAGTTCTCCAGATGTCAGGAGTTCAAGACCAGCCTGACCAACATGGTAAAACCCCATCTCTACTAAAAATACAAAAATTAGCTAGGTGTGGTGGCGGGTGCCTGTAATCCCAGCTACTCGGGAGTCTGATGCAGGAGAATCCTTTGAACCCGGGAGGCGGAGGTTGCCGTGAGCCTAGACTGCACCACTGCACTCCACCCTGGGTGACAGAGGGAGGTCCCTCTCAGGAAAAAAAAAAAAAAAAGAAAAAGAAAAAAAGAACTAGGACCTGTGGCTGCCTCTGGAACAGAAACTGGGTGGTGGGAGACTAATTTTCCATAGTACATTTTTTTGTACCATGAACATATGTTCCATGTTCCAAAAACCCCCAAAACCCTCCTTTTTTAGAATGCCTTAAATAGCTTAGTAAACAACGCAAAGGTAAACTACAATTTTAGCACGAACCTTCTTCCCCTGTAATTCTGGAGCGAGCCTTTCTGTCTAACTGCATACCACACCTCCAAGGAGGCCACCTTATTTTTTCACTTCGTGGCTGCGGCTGGGCCATCTAAATATTAAACAGCCTGCTTTAAGTTCATCGTAAAGCGTTTCCCTACATGGGCTGCTGTCGACAGCGCCTAGCATGCCGACTTCATCAAACATCTCCCCCTCCCTGGAGACTCGCGGCATCCTACCGGAGCCTGGCGCCATCGTGCCTTTGTTTCCCTGATCTGGATGCTTGGGTGGGCCACTCCCTGCAACCTCCCACTCAGCGGGCAGGGATGAGCTGACCCAGTTCCTGCAGCTCGAGAGCCTGGTGCCACTGCCCCGCCCACCACACCACACAGATACTCCACAGGTATCTCATGGGTGTCACCAGAGTGTGCTTTATGCGGCTGGAGGAGCACAGCGGGGACCCGGAAGGGGGAGCAGGCCCTGTGCCCCTTGTCCTGGCCCAGCTGCACTCGAGGTGATGGCCTGCTGTGATGTCAGGTGGCTCTACTCTCTGCGCCCATCCTCAAGACCGCCCCGGCCAGCCTTACCCTCCACGGGAAATACTGATCCTCCAGGCGGCCGATTCCCAGGCACCCTCGGGTGTTCTTGCCCCACACAAACAGCTCTCCTTTGTCTGCAAAAAGAGGAAAACGGGTTGGCTGGGACTGTGCGAAGCAGTCTCCAGAGAGAGGACGGGTCACGAGAACAGGCTTTCTAGAACCAGGTGCATTCACAGCCCGACCTTCAACTTCAACTTTTACCAAGCGTTAATCCTTTCTTTTGAAGGCGAAAAGTAAGTGTCGGAGATGCTGTCCCCATGTCAAAAACAGGTCCACGCCCAGGACTTGTGCTGCCACCCACATGGGAGATGAGCACTCGAATAAAGCTGCGGATGGAGGGTGGTACACGGGCAGGCAGTAGGGCACGGGGCGGTGGGGCGGGGGGGCAGTGCACGGGGCGGGGGGCCGGGGGTGGTGTATAGGGTTGGGGACTGGGGTTGGTGCATGGGGCTCAGGGTGGTGTATGGGGTTGGGGGGCTGGGGGTGGTGTATGGGGTTGGGGGTGGGGGTGGTGCACGGGGCTGGGGGTGGTGTATGGGGCTAGGGGTGATGGATTGGGGGGGCTAGCGGTGGTGTATGGGGTTGGGGCTGGGGGTGGTGCACGGGGCTAGGGATGGTGTATGGGGTTGTGGCTGGGGGTGGTGCACAGGGCTGGGGGTGGTGCACGGGGTTGGGGCTGGGGATGGTGTATGGGGTTGGGGGCTGGGGGTGGTGCACAGGGTTGGGGATGGTGTATGGGGTTGAGGGTTGGGGGCTGGGGGTGGTGCACGGGGTTGGGGCTGGGGGTGGTGCACGGGGCTGGGGGCGGTGTATGGGGTTGGGGACTGGGGGTGGTGCACGGGGCTAGGGGCAGTGGGTGCTGGTGCATGGGGCTGGGGATGGTGCACAGAGCTGGGGTCCAGGGGTGGTGCACAGGGCTGGGGGCTGGAGGTCACTAGTGCACGAGGCCCACTCTGCTCACCCCTTGTACCCAAGCCGCGGCCGTGTCCCACCAAACTCTGCCCTCCACAAATCTTCCTGATTTGACAGTGAAAAGTAGGACGATCTGTCATTCCTGGTTTGACTGCCCATATCTTGGGAGCATTCAGCCACAGGACATCTAATGACTACGTGCCTGCTCGTGCTGGGTCCAGGTCTGTGTTCCAGGGGCTGGGAACAGGCCAGAGACGGAACAGATGTACACCTTTAACATACGTTTACAAACTGTAAAAACCATCACAAAGAAAAGGTACAGGATGCTGTCAGAGGCCAATGCAGGAGATGGGCTGGCATAGCCCGGCCTTCAGGCGGGACTCTGTCTGCACCAGATGGGGCACTCCTGGCCCATGTCACCACCTGGCTGTCATGCAAAAGGCATGGGTCATGGGAGGCAGAGGAAGTGATGTGGAAAAGCCAGGACTCCAAGAACTGGGGCCGATGGAGTAAGGAGTAATTACAAGCTGTCTTAGCCCCTGATCTGACCATGCCCCTTGTCTTCCACACTCAGACCTTACATAGTTTTTGTGTGTATATGTTTTTGTTTGCTTTTGAGTCAGGGCCTTACTCTGTCGCCCAGGCTGCAATGCAGTGGCACAAACACAGCTCACTGCAGCCTTGAACTCTTGAGCTCAAGCAAGCCTTCCACCTCAGCCTCCCGAGTAGCTGGGACTACAGGCGCACACCACCATGCCCAGCTAATTTCTGTCTTTTTTGTAGAAACAGGATCTCACTATGTTGTCCAGGTTGGTCTCGAACTCCTGGGCTTGAGGGACCCTCCCATCTTGGCCTCTAGAAGTGCTGGAATTATAAGCATGAGCCACTGTGCCCAGCTAGACCTTAGGCGTTTAACAGAACAATTCGGTCTGGCTCCCTAGAATACTAGCAGACTGCAGGATCAACCAATCAACTTCAGTTCCCAGATAGCTATCTGCAAATGCCAGGCACAGAGGCAGGGAGGCAGCCATGCTCTGTCTACCAACGGGCAGGAACTCGCCCTTAGAAGGTGACCTGTTGGTAGCCTTCGGGAGAAATCGAGAAAGGAATTTCATTTCTCTGTGACCTGAAATGGCTACATGGCATAAGGGCAAATAGAAAAGGCTCTACTTGGCCGGGCGCGGTGGCTCACGCTTGTAATCCCAGCACTTTGGGAAGCCGAGATGGATGGATCATGAGGTCAGGAGTTCAAGACCATCCTGGCCAACATGATGAAACCCCATCTCTACTAAAAATACAAAAATTAGCTGGGCGTGGTGTTGCACGCCTGTAGTCCCAGCTATTCGGGAGGCTGAGGCAGGATAATCGCTTGAACCCGGGAGGCAGAGGTTGCAGTGAGCCGAGATTGTGCTACTGCACTCCAGCCTGGGCAACAAGAGTGAGACTCTGTCTCAAAAAATAAAAGAAAAGCCTCTACTCCAGTCAAATGCTTCACACAGATTTCTAACATGTGACTCTGCCCAGAGCTGAGGCCTTAAGAACATTCTGGAAAGTAGATATCTGTTGCCCCCAAAATTAGTCCATAGGACTCTGATTTGCCAAATCAAAATAGCTTTAAGAATTCACAAGACGTAGAAATATCAACAAATGCAAGTGGCCGCTCTGGGGCAGTGGCAAGGCATTCAACCCAGCGCCAGACAAAACTCCGACCCACAGCCACCAGAACCAGGCTGCAGTCTGCCTGCTCCACGGCCTCTGAAACCTGGAATTCAAACTGTAAGTGAATAGCAGTTAGGACCCTGGTTGAGAGGGCGGGCGTCTGCGACAGGCCCCACGTGGGAATGAGGCCAGAGAACTCAGCCGAAGGCCACACGAACTGACTGTCCCGGCCCAGATGTTTCCAAAAGAAAAACAATTACTTGCCATGAGATGAACAGATTTTTTAATTGCAAGGAAGTAACTAATTGACTTGAGAATCACAGAATGAAATGAATTCAGGACAGTGTTACTACTCAAGTCAGCTGAAGAGCCGCAAATTGATTCAATGGTAACTATGGGGGAGTAAGGGATGTAAGCAAGAAAAAAAACACATTCTGGAGGCCTGCGGGGTCACCAGGTATTCCCTGGCTTTGTAACTGGGCAAGCCTTTGGGAAAAACCTCCGTTTCTATCTCCCTTTCATCATTCTCTGCCCCAGCACTGAGATGAAGCCTCTGTGAAACCACGGGACAGTCTGACAGTCCTGCCTTTCGTCATCCCGTATCCTGGGTCAGATCAGGGGCTGGGCTCGGCCGGGGAGCAGGATTAAGCCCCACACGCTCACTTCCTAAGTACCCACCCGCGGACCCGCCAGTGCTGGTTTCGCCCGGCACCCGCCGTACTGACGGCGCCCTCTTCCTACCACGACGGGCGCTCTCTTGAGAAAATGCATGTTCACGTTAGCCTAACCCACAAACCAGGGGGACCAAAACCAGAACTCC